TCTTTTTAGTACAAAAAATATTTTATGCATATCTTCATCACGTCTTATGTTATCGGGGTGCACTATCTACCCAACTTACGATGTGACGAAGTAGTATCAGTGAGATTCATTTGTATTGAATATCCCTTGTTTCCTTAAAATTGGAAAGTGGGATAGACAATCTTATGTTATTCCTAATGATTAGTACAATATTTTGATGTATTACATTTATGCAATTGTTTATTTATTTTATTTTGATTTATTATATTTATTTATTTAGAATAGTGCTATGGAGAAGAAGAGCTACTGCCACAAGTAAAACTGATGGCCCAAGAACTGCTAAGAAAGTTATACACACTGATAGAGGACCTTGCACAGCTAGTAATCAAGGTGTTGTTGCCCAAACTCCCAATATTATTACATTTATCACAGTAATGATCGATGTGAATGCTCAGCTTACTCAAACGCTACAAGCGATTCAATAAATTACTCAGTCAACACCGCAATCAGCTCAGTTAATACCACAACTAGCTTAAAAAAAACCATAGACGCATAAATTAAACTACTACTTTGACTCATGTAAATCAATCAGCATTGAAGAGCTAAATGATTTAAGTGACATCAATTGACTTAGCAGCTCAAACTAATATTAGAATCTCAATGTTTCAGGATGTCTAGAATAATAGAAGGATGATAGATCGAGTGATGAACCAATTTTTAAAAACTCGTCCTCCTACCTTTAATGGGATGGTAGGAACCAATTGAATCGAATGCATGGCTTCACAAAATTGAGAAGAGACTTCGAGGTATCCAATGGCCTGAAGAGCATAAGGTCAACATGACTGCATTTCAATTACCAAAAGATGCTGATGGCATGGCATCATTTCAATTAGCAGTTTGCACATAACCAGCCATGATTTAATTCGATTCATTATCATTCCCACGCCATCCTCTCTAATTAACAAGTATTTTTTTATTTCTTAAACCGAACTGCCACTAGCTTGGGCTAAATATTTAAAGCCTACTAATTAGTTCTATTCAAAAAATAATAATAACTAAAAACTATAGGTGTTTGTGCCTATGAGAAACTCGAACTAGATCATAAAGTTTTTGTAAAATAAGGTTTGATATCCAATTTGCATTAAAATTTAATCCGAAAACACTCATATAAAGATGTAAGGTGATTGATGCAGGACATGTATGACAATTTGATTTAGATAAATGATTTTGCACGCTTGATAATTAAGAGCAAGTTAATTAAAACTCGATGATGAATTAAACAATGAAATAAAACACAAAGCGGTAAACACAAGCTTAGGCCAAGTTACTTGCAAAAAGTAAAAACCCACATAATAATCAATTACTCTTAACATTGCATACGAGATGGGTTTCAACAAGAAATCCCTAATCTAACAATAAGAGTAGTGCTATGATAGATCTCTCACACACTTCCTACCAAACACTAAGCTTTTTAGCGGAGCTCGGCAAGATTTTGCATGAATCAAATAAAACCAAAAGCAAGGATCAACGAAGGAGGTAAGAGAGAAGGAAAGCGTTCACCCTTTGCTAAGATCCAACCTTCTCGCAAGCTTGTACAGCAATTGGTGGCGTCTTTGACGGCTCGGAAGCAACAAATCCACGCTCGAACCTTTGGACAACGAGTATCCAACCTGGGACAGTGATTCCAGACAGTTCCGGGCAGCAACGGGTGGATTTCCGGAGAGCAGGACAGCAGTTTCGCTTGCTGAAATTCCCTGGACAGCAGCCTGGCGATGTACAGAAAATCTGGAAAGCAACCAACGGAGGAGGACACGAAGCTCAGGTGTGATCGTTGTGGTTGCCGACAAAAAGAGGATAGCAGATTGAAGCCCGGAGAGGTTCTGGACAGCAGCTTTCTGGTTCCTTGCAATCTAAACAGCAGTTCCTTGGTCCGTGCAAATCTGGACAGCCATGGAGTTGGCTGGAATTCTTGGACAGCACACAAGTTTTGTCCAGAGATCTGGACAGTACTTTGGGTGGTGTTGATTTCAGGGTTTTTTTTTTCTTCCCTGGATGATAGGAAGTTAGTTGAACATCATGGGAGAACTTCGATAAACAGCAGCAGGAGCAACCTGGGATTAATTTCCTTCCTAGACGGTGAGCTGAGTAATTCCAGGATCTCAATTGGAAAGGGGAAGGGGGCGGCAGCCCTTAATGGGATTGATTGGAGAATTACTTGAGGGAATAATTAGGATCTAGTTTTAGAAAGTTAAATTAGGAAAGGGGTTGTAATCCTAATCCCAATTAAGATTCTAATTGAGATGATTGGTGAATCCTTTCCAAAGATATATCTATGATTTTGGGAAAGAGTTTTAAATTCAAATATGAGGGAATTTGAATTTAAATAGTTTCTAAACTTAGGGAAGTTAAGTTAGGAAAGAGGATTAGAGGAGAATCTCTAATTCATTCAGATTTGAAAAGATTGGAAAGTTTCCCAAATTAGATCAATCATATTTAGGAAGGTATTCAAATTCAAATATATTTGAATTTGAAATTTGAAATCCTTCCAAATTGTAGATGACCTAATTAGGCAGATTTTCAATTCTCCCCTAGAGGGAAACTTGGAAAGCAAGGAAGGATGGAGGGGAGACTTGGGCCGGCGGTGGGGAGGAGGAAAGAAGGGGACGGTGAAGAGGGTGGTGGGGCCGAGGGCAAGAGGGCAAGGGGTTTGGGTTGAATGGCTTGGTGGTGGGAGAAGTTGGTCGGCGGCAAGGTGGGGTGGCTAAGGAATCCGGCGGCTAGGAGGGAAAGAGATTGAAAGAAAAGAACGATAAAACAAACCACGAACCCGGCCGTCTCCAAGGTTAGTGGGTGGTCCATTTTTCCTTCCCTAGGGATGTCTCCAAAGCTCTCTCGTAGAACTCTCACAACTCAAAGAACACATGTGCATAATTTTTTTTTCTAATTCATTCATTAACCCTCAAAGAAGAAGAGGGAGGCTTTAAATAGCCCAAACAATGAGAAACTAAAAAGTACTACAATGCCCCTAGGGCTTACACATATCTAAGCCCTTAAGTAAGGGCAAAAATGGAAAAGCATAATAAACTTCATAAAATAAAAATAATACATCAATCATAAATAGAAAAATCAAAAGTATCGCGATATAATCGTGGCCGTAGATCGACGACCACGCCTCTAGTAAACTTTCTAAGTCTTGATGTCCTCATCAGTGATTATTTTTAAAGCTTAAAGATACCAATTTTTAGGAAATATGTGCCTCGCCCCAGAAGCAAGTATGATGCACCATATAGTAACCATAAAAGCAGTCAAGCATCACAAAAATAATATTAAAATTTATGTGATTTGACTTAAATACACCAACATCCATACAAAGTTACAAATGTAGAAAATGATATCATTTTATCTGATGCTCCCTTTACAAGCACCGCAAAAAAAAAAAATTTCTCCAATAGTACCCATCTCTTCTCATCCTCTCCCTCTCCTCTCTTTGTTGTTTATTGTTGTGGAATGCATGAAACTATTAATTTCTTCTGCTTTAAATGGTTATGTAATAAGTGGTGAGCTTGAAAGATAAAGTGTTAATATAGCTTGAATTGGCAAACCACCTTCTTAGAGAAAAAAAAAAGTGTAGATGGATCTTAAATTGGCAGCCACCAATCTTGAAAATCAAAGATGAATGGATGTCCAGTTTGGTAGCACCGATCTTGAAAATCAAAACAAAATCACATCCAAGATGATTAAGAAAATTTAGACTCCACAAGTAACATAAGTGGCAGAGGGACAAGTTTGCTTGCTGTTTTTGGACATTTGAACAAGCTTTTTAACATTTTACAAGCGCAAAAGCATCTAAGGAAACTACAGAAAAAAAAAAAAGATGGAAGATATAAAGACAAGAAATTTCAAATTGTTTTTACCACTATTTTTAAAAATTGAGATAAGGTTAGAAAGCACTGGGAACTTTGTAGGCCATAGATTTAGCCCCTTTTTCAAGATGTATCGGACATCATCCGAATAGCACACGTGTTAATATCAAAAACACATGAACCAAAACTATTATAGGCATTCTTAATATTGAAAGTCACCAAAACTGCAATGTAAAGTCAACATCCCTTTTCAATGAAAACCTGAAGAGCATAAGAGACTAGTGGTGGAAGAAATCTAGGGTGTAGTGATTAAGAACCCGAGAACTAAGAGGACCGAAGACTAAATATGAAGGGTATAAACTAACAAACAACAAAGAGCAAGCGAGGTTGGATACCTTCCAATTCACAATGTTTGACCAACTTTTGCCATCCTTTCCAGCTCTCGACATCAAGAGCATCCAGCTCTCGACATCAAGAGCATCACAATCCAGGAAATGATTGTGGACCTATCGGTGCCAACAACAAAGAAGCATGAAGAACGCTTCTCATTGAATCTTTAGCTAGAACCTCTATGAAAACCAATGAATGTCATTGTTATAAGTAATTTGTCAATCCAGTGCTATTATTAACGATATTTGTCGAAAAGTGAAACCTTGAAACTTTTACAAATACCCTACTAAAGCTTCTCCCTTATAAATAGCCCCTTAGGCTCCCTCCCTCCCTCACAATTCTCTCTCTCACCCTCACCCTTATCCTCTCCCTCTCTCATATTCTTTCCCTCTCTCAATCTCTCCCTCTCAACCTCGCTCTCTCTCCCTCCCTTTCTCTCTCACAGAAATATCTCTTCACAGTCTCCAACTCCAGGAAATATCTTCACAATCGAAAATTATGTATGTCAAGATCATAAAACCTCTGATGTCATCAAAGTTCAAATGTAATAAGTTAAATATTTTAAGATATGTAAGAAGTTGTCAAATGATTTCACTAAAGCTACAAGACCAAGTTCTTTATTACAATTCATGTTCCTATCATGGCTAATGCCAACCTATGAACAAAACACTTTCTTGTTTTTTAATCTAGTGTTCAAGATGCTCCCATGCAACTACTAAAATCATATTCCATATATGAAATCCAAACTATAAGATACCATATAATTACCTCCAAAAGATTCAGCATCTTTCGAGTCTGTGAAAATATTAAAATGTGGTGCCCCTCTTTAATCAAGTTTTCCTGCCACATAGAAATCAAGTTACAATTAGTAAGTTTAAATATGCTACTTGCATAGCTCAAACATGATTATTAATAAATAGTATATGTATAATAAAGTATTCTTACCAACAATGGCATGATAAAAGATAATTTGCATGATATCTGTTGACCAACTTTAAGAACATTGTGATAATTTGAATTTACCACACTCAACGCCATCTCTTCCATCAAAATAAGCTCTTCACGATTTAGCATTGTGTCCATGCCTTCAAGTACACCTTCTGCAGCCCTTTTGGTTAGCAGCAACGGGTGATCACATATTTTCTTTAAAATCTATTTAAAATCCAAAAATGGAAGCAAGTCCATGAGCATTAGAACAAACCCACAAATTTTCATATTTTATAATGATGCTATTTTCAAATATGAAGAATTTTAATATAACATATTTTAAATACTTTCCACGGTTAATAAAGAATACTAACCTTCACATTCGCAAGAAATTCTATCACTACATAATATATTCGGCAATCTAATGAAAATAATAGATATTTTGAATAAACAAAATAATGGCTCCTAAAGAAGTATATGCACAAAATACCGGTTGGACATAAGAACAATCTCAAGGACTTCCTAAGAATGGGTAAATCTTTAAGGCTAGAAATTATCCAGCTCTTACTGATTTGAGAATTAACAAGAAAAGTTAATTCCTTACCATTGCCTTGGAGAAGCATTACCATACAATAAATACTTGAATGGCTTATAACCACATGCTTAAATTTGACAATAATATTGTGGATAACATGGCATAATTAATCTATTAGGAAAAGATCAACATAGCCAATTCATGCAGAAGGGCAAAAACTATTCAAAGCGTCCATATTATCACAGCTTCAAAATGCAAAAATAATAGTTTTACAATGACCTTCAAATAATGGTGCACCGCAAAGTACTGTACGATCAAAATTCAAGATTCTTCCAAGAGAACATTGTACTTATACTCCAAAACAAATGGTACATACTCAAAAATAGTGTAACGATTCAGATTCAAACAGCACTTTCCACTCTTTAAACGTCTAATAATCAAGAGTTCTGTTTTTTAACTACTGTAAGATGAGACATACAAAAGACATGCTGGAAACTCCAAAGGAGCCCTCCAAACAACAAAAACAATACTGCAAATCAACATCACTAGTAACAACAAGCCAACACTACTGTGGACGAAAAAGAAAAAGCTGCTACATAAATGGAAAGACAAATTTATGAAATAAAAAACAAACTTTGTACCTTCACAAAAATATTGTACAAAACAATAGGTACATGCTCTATAGCTCAATCAAGCAAGTATTCCACTCCATACTCTCGAGTGCTTGTTGACCACCGTCCTGCACACATGCCGATTTGATCTCTCATTCACGCTTGACCCCGCCTCATGACGATTCACTCCCAAATGACAAAATCGTTCGTTCCCTCACATAATACCCCTCACATTAATAAAACTCTCAAACGAACTGCTCGCTCCAGCTAATTGATTTGACACTCCTGCAAACACCCACTAATCTTCTCTATCGTGCGTCCCAAGCCGACTGACTCCCCCAATTGCACACAGAAGCCCGAACGAAGAAGCTCACTCGGCCACGCCCCACGCAGCAGCCCGCCCTTCCACGCTTGACCCAAACTCCCTATCTCGACTCCATCCTGTGCAGCATCCCGCACTTCCGCACTCGATCCGAGCTCGCTTGTCCCTCTCCCTCATCTCCTTCAACTACATGCATGGAGACCCGACGCCTAAGCCTTCCACCATCGACTCTCCTCACATGATTTCATCACTTGAACCTTCACGCTCGGTAGACCCTGCTCACACACGAGACCCCACCATCTCCGACTCTAATACACACAATTCCATGCTTGACAATAACTCAAGCTTCCAATCTCGTTACCAACCTCCGACCCGCACGAGCCCACACTCGCTAACCACGACTTGCGTCCGTCCCATCCCACTCCCGATGTGGGCTCCGAAAATTCGGCCCCAGCCTCCCTTGCTGCTTTTCAGGGAACTTTTAATGCATTAACTTTAAGGGTAAATTTTGGGAAGGCATATTTGGATTGCAGATAAGACACTACCCAGAGATTTCGCCCTCATTTTGCGAAGACTTTATGATCTGAGTTATAGTTTCCTATAGGTGCAAGCCCCTATAGTTAATTACCCCTCCCGATAAGGAGAGAGAACTTTCAATTCAGGCTAGTCGTCAAACAATTATGTAGAAAGTACGTGTTTTCTAGCATATAGTAGCAACATGGGCATTTGGAAGGTTGAAGAATTGATATTTAAAATTTGAAATTGCACCATCTTGCACTTAAAGCGGATGGTGGGGGAATAGATGATGAACCCGATCAAGATCTGATGGTTCCGCCGTCCCGGGCCATCATGGTCACTGGTCTACTTAGTAAGAGGTGGTAGTCGACCCAACCTGATAGAAGGATCCTTATTGGCAGCCATGGGTTCCTTCGTCCAAGGGTACCTTATAGACCTAAGGTGGGTATTTATCTAAGGGAATAAATTTGAATCCACATTAGCTAACAAAGGATTTCGTGAACTATCGATTATAACTTATTGATTCATATCTCAATGATTTCATGCCATTAGGGAACACACGGGCTCTGGCCATAACCATAATTTGGTGGTGCCATGTAGCACCAAACCACCCGGTTCAGAGGGTCCCGGTCATAAACATTTATATACGGTGCCATTTGGCAACAAAATCGCCAGTTAGAGGACACGTGTCACGTTCCTGCTGGCAGGATACTATTTGAAAATGAATCCTAGTGATATTCTCGACCATAAATTAGCTCTTTATGAGCAGAAGATATATTTAAATTTGTCCACCTCGGCAAATATTTGCAGTGGATGGATTTTTCTTTAAGTGTTTAATAGTTTAATTTGATTTTAAATATTTCAATCTTGAGATTTTGGGACTTTTGGAGTCTTTGGATTTTGTGGGCATTTGGGTGGCATTGAATACTTGTAATTAACCCCTCCGGTTGAGATTGTCGTTCAACGCGGCCATCATCGAGGTATTGGGGTCATTTGAAAAAGTTTGTATTAGTGAAAGTTTGAGGGCATTTTGAATAATTAGAATTAACACCTCTAATTGAAATCAACGTTCAACACGGTCATCATCAAGATGTATATGGGGTCATTTGTATACGTGGATTGAACCTTGTCGACTTTGTCTACTTGCCGACAAAGGATCGAGTTCCTCGTAGGCTTTATGCCTCTGTGAATGAATTTTCTTGATTATCAGCTTTGAAGGCCTTATATGAATGTATAAAACAAATATCTTGGTCAATACCACAAACATATATTTGTTCGATGGTTCGAGCCATGTCGACTCCTATCTACCAGCATAGAAGGATCAGGCTCGAACTTGGGTTTACTTTCTGACCAGCGCAGCATCCCTAGACGTCACATGTGTGACCATAAAACACTCATCAGATCCTATGCGGGTGTATTATCTCTATTTTTGTGTACCTATGTGCATACATATTATAGTGCATGTGCGGGGAGCATTTTTGGACATTTAACGGAACTTCTTTGGCGACCCGTAGGAGTTCGTGTTTATCTTGACCCTTCTGTGTTGACCCATTTTATATAGATAGACTGTCGTGCACTACTTGTTGCTTTCTGTAGGTGGATTATAGGCACTAATGAATCTTCTGCTTTGCATTTGCAGATGCTTATAGATGGTTTGTCGTATATATAATGAGTTTCCCACAGTAACTCGTAGGCATTTACACCTGATACAGTCAATTCGTATTTTGCTTATGGATGCACACAGGGTGTATAACATATTTTCTAAGGCAACTCGTAGAAGTTCGTGTTGTTGTAATGCTTCGATATTTGCCCGTAAGTGACATGTTGAGTTCACGACGGCTGTTCACCAAGAAGCTTGCAAGCCTCAATAATCTTATCCAGCTCAATGTTCAGAACCTGGTTGAAGTGAGACTCGCTCATTCCATTCATTGAAAATAATGATTTTATCTGATTTTCTCTTCCCAGAACTCATGTAGAAATTAACAGGCAACTACCTAATGATGTCTTCATCCTCATCTTTTTAGTGTCAGTTTAAATAAAGAATCAATCATTTCAATCTTAGATGACTGTGTCCTTGCTGATGCCCTATATTTTCAAAATTAGTGGCCACTACCTTGAACTAGCAACTATAGTGATTGAAGGCACATCAGTCCATTCATGACACCCATTGTGTGTTGACCTTCAGCACTCGTAGGCAACTACGGTATTTGTCCGCGAGTCGGATGTCGTTGACTGGAGGGAAGCCGTAATGCTCATTGTGCATGGCATGAATGACATCTTAAATACACCTGGACAAATCGAGTCACTACTGAGGTACTTCATGATCTACCATGATTAGAACATAACTCTCTCTTGATTGTCGTTGATTGTGAAGGTGAGTATTGTTCATAAAAAATATCCACAAGTCTTCTTGGAGTTGCTTGTGAATGATGTGCTGCATTCGTATGAAGAAATCATCACAACCATTACATGTTGCATGCATTATGGATCTATTGTTCTTGAAAGAGACTTCAGAATGCTCCCAACAATCATTATCTTTTGATATTCATGTCTCATTCGATATGAGGGCTTTGAACATTATGGGAAGCTTTGTGCTACTAGTTGCAGGCATATAACCATACTCCTTATTTAATCATTGCATGCATGCTAACTTCATTGAATAGCCTGAGATATCTCAATTCTATCATTCTTTGTTTGCATAACTTTTGAGAGCTTGTTTTTCATTCATTCTAAATTTCTTGTACATATGTTTACTTTCATTTGGATGACCGGGATAAATAATATGGGTCAATCATCATCTGGTTTGTGATATGAATGATAGCATCAACATTATTATTGGTTATCAATTTGTATTCCAACCAATGTGATAATTTATTGGTATTTCATTGAGGTCCTATATTTTGATCGCAAGAATATTGTTGTATCCTGCAATTGATCTTTGCTTATGTGTAGATCATTGCGTCCTTCACATGTCATGAGTCTTCTATCTGTTTGTTGACATTCATGCATGTTCAGTTGAATGCATTATCATTTCATACATTTGAATATGGTCATATGTCCTTCTTGATTCTAGCTAATGATTGATTGCAAGCAAATGATGATTGGATTCTTGTTTACCATAAGCTTTATGTTCATTCAGTCGCATTTGCTTGATATTGCTTGCAAACTGATTGTCTTGTGAAATTGTCCATTTGCAAATCTCTTGTTCATTCATTGATTGACATATCTTTATTTGGTTGCT